AGCAGCCAGGGGCTATCCTGAGTAGGGCCCAGGATGAAGGCCTGGCAGCATGACAGGAGCTTCGGTTTGAGGCCCTTGAAGAAGGAAACGCTGAGGAGCGTGAATAGGGACTGGACAGGGTGCACTCATAACTCAAGGCAGTGTCTTGAGGAACCCCGCAGGCCTTATAAGTACCGAAGCCTTAACTCTGACCGCAACAACATGTCAGCCACCAGAGCGTGACCGTGCTGGGTTTAAGGGCCTCCCTGGTCAAAGATGTCCAACTGAGACTTCTGCCCATCATGCTGTGTTTCATTGGTCTTGAGGTACAGACATCCTCTTTCTAGAAACCTTAGATCCTTAGTCTGGTGATCAGAGCCCCAAGACCCCTGACCCAAGCCCTTCTCAGGGGGTGCCTCCCAGGAGGCCCTGACTTAGTGGCCTCCCAGCTGGTGGGGCTGGAATCAGGTCACCCAGTGGACCAGCTGCAACCCCCACCCCTCATGGTCTACACCAGGAAAAACGAGCAAGCCGCGAAGGTCACTGCCTGGAACTCGACACGGCTGAACGAGGAGTGTTTAGCAGTCTCCAGCCTGATCTCTGGGATGCAGGTGATGGAGCTGTAAGTGGGAGGAGTCGTAAACACACACAGGCTGAGCACAGTGTGGGCTTGGGTCTCGGCCAGGGTCATACGTTGACTTTGGGGTTGACCTCGGCCAGACAGAAACCTGCCAAGTGAGCCGCTGCGGAGGGAAAGCCCTGCACCCCTTCCCTCTGTAATGAGTCAGGCCTTTGAAGAGTGATCACTTGACAGGAGGGGAGTCAGGCCTTGAAGAGTGATCACTTGACAGGAGGGGAGTCAGGCCTTTGAAGAGTGATCACTTAACAGGAGGGGAGTCAGGCCTTTGAAGAGGGATCACTTAACAGGAGGGGATTCAGGCCTTTGAAGAGGGATCACTTAACAGGAGGGGAGTCAGGCCTTGAAGAGTGATCACTTAACAGGAGGGGAGTCAGGCCTTTGAAGAATGATCACTTAACAGGAGGGGAGCCAGGTCTTTGAAGAGTGATCACTTAACAGGAGGGGAGCCAGGCCTTTGAAGAATGATCACTTAACAGGAGGGGAGCCAGGTCTTTGACGAGTGATCACTTAACAGGAGGGGAGCCAGGTCTTTGAAGAGTGATCACTTAACAGGAGGGGAGCCAGGTCTTTGAAGAGTGATCACTTAACAGGAGGGGAGCCAGGTCTTTGAAGAGTGAGAATCGGGCCTTTGAAGAGTGAGAATCAGGCCTTTGAAGAGTGATCACTTGACAGGAGGAGAGTGATCTCAGCTAATTCTGGTGGTTGCCTCTTTCTTTGTGGCTTGCATGCTCCTTTCCTGGGGAAGGTAGAGGAGAACTTGGATTTGGTTCTCAGCTCCTCTATCAGGGGCCTCTCTCAGATGCCCGTGGGTGCTATGCTTCCTGTCCACTCTCCAAGAAAGTCTTAGATCCTTCACTTCCAGAGTGCCCAGCCCCTTCTAAGACCAAATCTGAAGGGCGTCTCAGTGCAGTGGCCACTTTTAAGGCCAAAGAGTCTGAGTTTAAATCTCGACTCTGCTTCTTGATAGGAATAGCCATTTTCTTTCCGTGTCCTCAGGCGGCCTTTCTTCTGTATGAGTGCACCCCTGGCATCTCCATGGGCCCAAATGGTCTGTTCTCATAAGGTCATGTTGGATCCAGGCCCGCCCTCATGACCTCATGTTAAAGTCAGTGCCCCTTTGAAGGCCCTGTCTCGGGATACAGTCACACACTAAACTCCTGGGGGTTAGGACTTCCACCTAAGAATTTGGGGGGAGGGGAGGAGACGGAGACACAGCCCGTAGCGAGTACCAACATCACAGTGTTCTTCTCAGTAAGATCCCGGCTCAGTGACTCACAGGGCGTGTTTTTTCACGAGGATGCCTGTTTCCTGTTGGGTGAGTGGGTTGAAGTGAGTGGTGTGTGTAGCCGCTGAGGATATACTGTTTAGTGAGCTACAGCTTTACCAGGCTGGAAATGGACGAGGCAGAGAGGTAAGATGTGGGCCGGACATCAGCAGACCCGCAGACCCCCGGCCGAGTGCTAGCACTCCGTCCTCCACGTGACTGTCTCCCAAACCTCTCCTTGTAATTCAGCAGTGATGTCTTATGACATTTGGGGAACACCCATGCCACATCCTAGAGAGGACTTCCAGAATCACTGACCATGGACCGAGTTGGCTCAGAGGTGAGTTTCTGTAATACCCTGAAGCCACCTGAAGGACAGATCTGGAAGTGGCGAAGGTGACCCAGAAGTGACACTGATGATGGAGGATTGATGTGGCTTCACCACATGCAGCCAGTGGACGTTTGAATTCCTGTTTGCTAGTATGTGGCATGGACGGGGCTACCATCACAACACACCAAACAACGAAATCAGGACCGTGACAGCTGAGGGCCCATCCTGCTTCTGCACCACAAGTTTGTTCAAGAGCACATTCAGAGACTGCATTAGACCACACTTCAGCAAAAGCTAAACTGCTTTTTCTTGCTTCATGAGCTCCTGACTCGTGCTTTTCTGTGGACAGGGGAAGTGATACATTTTGCTTTATTAAAAGGGATAGAAAAATCAAGCCTTCTTCCCATGTAGCTGCTCTCGAACTCCCCTTTGATCACTGAGGGTGGAAGTACGTCCAAGGTATATCACTTTTAGCATCAAGAAAAAGTGATAGTGCTCACCGGAAGTGAGGTGACGTCACAAAGAAGCTTTCTGAGGATGCTCCAGTGTCTGGTAATAAGCCTGGCATGTTCCTTACCCTCCAGAAACCAACAGCCCAAGTCACGTGACTCTCAAGGGGACCCATCCCCGTCCCAGCCCCAACTCCCAAAGAACAGGCATGCAGGAGGCTCACAGGTTAGCGTGACCACTGTGACATGGTCAGAGAGCCCACGTGGCCTCAGGAGCAGCTGGTGGAAATGTCCTGAGTGACAACGGGCAAAACAGGACACACATGAGTACTGTGTTCAGAACTTTCCAGAAAAGTGATAGCAGCATTGTCAGGCATTTTCAAGATTGGCTTCAATGGAGAAGTGGGGATCATTGCTTCTGTTTATTTTCCGCATTGGTTGTTATGATCAGAAAAGCAGTGCGTACTCATTGTAATAGTTAACCTTTCAGGCTTTTTCTCTGCTTCCACCAACAAGATGGTTTTTGTTATCAGACTCTGATGTTCTGCAAGCTGCAAACCAGCACAGCTTCTTGAAATATTGGATAAGAGGGGATGAGGGGGATGGGAGAGGAAGAACCAGTGCAGGGTAGGGCGTGGGGTGGGTGGGAGGGTAAAGCGACAGAGGACTTTGATCCTTCACTGAGGTCGGGAGAGGAGTGGAGGGGTGAACAGAGGCTGAGGGAAAACAAGCAGAAGGCTGAAGTTCTGGGCCCGCTTCTTTAGTCTTAAGAATAGGGCTTCTGGATCTGACCTTGGAGCTGAAGAGAGAAAATGACCAGGTGACTTTGCTGTCAGCCTGGAAGAAGCCAAAGGAAAATTGTGCTCTGGGGCGAGGGAGGGGGATTTGGTTAGGAGATGTGGCCCGTGGGGCAGTATTCAGGACTCCAGCTGAATTGAGCTGCATTTAGTTCTGGAATTTAGGGAGAGAGGGAAAACAAGAGCAGCGCTGGGTAGCCTGAGTAGAGATGATGCTTGAAGAGCAGAGGCGTAATGGGGAGTCTTGCACAGAGGGGAGTCATGACGACGTCTGACTAATGATTGCCTGCTGGTGGGTGGATTTGGAGAGACTCTGGTCACTGTTTAGTGTGTTCAGTTTGACTGAGTTACAAATATCAGATAGGCAGCGTCCTAAATAAAACTGCTCTGTAGGGATTCAAGTATCACTTGGGATCAGACATGCTCACCTGCTTGTTGAGGAAACTTGGAGGGAAGAACATGCAGAGGCCTTCGAGAGCTCACCATGCTAGGGAGGGGCAAAGAATCCTCAAAACCCGAGTTACCCTGCTCCCTCCCATTGCTGGACGGAGGCACCGAGGGACCGGGCTTCACCAGTCACGGCTTTAAGGAGCCGTGGGCAGCGGTTGGTGGGAGAAGGCAGCAAGCATCATGGGGAGGTTGAGAGTGAGTGAGGAAGCAGCCCAAGAAACACAGGCTTTCCTGGTCCTTGATCAGAGTGGCCTTAGAGAGTTGGACGTGTAGCTGTTGTTTACTTGCTCAGTTGTGACCAACTCTTTGCAACCCCATAGACTGTAGCCCACCAGGCTCCTCTGTCCAGGAGGACAACCCCAGGCTCCTCTGGGATTTCGCAGGCAAGAATACTGGAGTGGGTAGCCATGCCCTCCTCCAGGGGATCTTCCTGAGCCAGGAATCGAACTCAAGTCTCCTGCATCGGCAAGCAGATTCTTTACCGCAAAGCCGCCAGGGAAGCCCAGGGAGTGGATGAGAAGATCTTAAATGGGAGAAGAGCCTTTTGAGGGCTCCTTGGGGCGTTGGATGAGCTTATGAGAAGGCAGAGGGTGACTCGAGGACCTTCTGAGAGGAGGAGAGTTGTGCAGCTTGGGGCAGAGGGTGAGCTCTTGGTCTTCACACCCCGTAACCCCCTCCGCTGGCTCCTCTGAGAACACAGCCTGCTGGTGCCAAGGACGTGGACCCCACGGTGAGCCTGGGATTTCTTACAGTGGAAACACATGCGGTCCCACCCGCAGCAGAAGTGATGAGCCAGCCAGGTGGTCCAGGCTCCCCAGCCCCTTGGCAAAGCACGTCAGCCTCCGCCTGCAGCTGTGGATCTCCAGAGGTTCTGGACTGGGTTACTGACACGATTTCACAAGAGCCGTCAGCTTAGGGGGCAGCCGCGGCCTCCGAGCTTGGCTCCTGGTGCTTTTTCTTCCCCCTCCTCCATCAGATGGCAGCGTGTGTGCGCGCGTGTGTGGGGGCGTCTCCCTGGCCCGGCAGCCCTGCAGGGCCCGGCGGTGGACGGCCCCGGTTTTGACGGTGTGGGTTTGTGTCTTTCCGGCAGGTGTCTCCTCTGTGACTTCCCTGATGTCCCTGGCTTGGGTGCTAGCCTCCTATCACAAGCTGCTGCGGGACTCCAGGGACGACAAGAAGAGCATGAGCTACAGAGGGGCCCTCATCCACCTCTTCTGGCGCCTCTTCACCATCTCATCCAGAGTTATCTCTTTTGCCCTCTTTGCTTCCATCTTCCAGCTCTACTTCGGGATCTTCGTGGTGGTCCACTGGTGCGCCATGGCCTTCTGGATCATCCATGGCGGAACAGACTTCTGCATGTCCAAGTGGGAGGAGATCCTCTTCAACATGGTGGTAGGGATTGTGTACATTTTCTGCTGGTTTAACGTCAAGGAAGGGCGGACTCGATACCGAATGTTTGCCTATTACACGATAGTCTTGACCGAGAATGCTGCCTTGACGTTCCTTTGGTATTTTTACAGAAACCCAGAGACCACTGACTCCTATGCGGTGCCAGCACTGTGTTGTGTCTTTATTAGCTTCGTGGCTGGGATCGCACTGATGCTCTTATATTATGGTGTGCTGCATCCCATGGGGCCGCGAATTAAGATCTTGGCCAGCTCCTGTTGTGCCGAGCTGCTCTGGGGCATCCCTTTGCCCCCCGATGTTGAGCCCATGGCGCCTCAGACCCCTGGGTACCGGGGGACCCAGGTCACGCCTACCAGAGCCGTAACGGAACAACAGGAGGATCTCACGGCTGACACTTGCTTGCCCGTGTTCCAAGTGAGACCCATGGGGCCCCCTACCCCGACGGGGCGTCCTTACCTCCCAGAAGGGCCCCTCATTAAGATTGACATGCCAAGAAAGAGATACCCAGCTTGGGATGCTCATTTTGTAGACAGGAGGTTGAGAAGGACTATTAACATTCTGCAGTATGTCACACCCACCGCGGTGGGCATCCGGTATCGGGATGGACCGCTCCTTTATGAGCTGCTACAGTATGAGTCTTCGCTCTGAGAGCATCCTGACCCACGTTGAGAAGGGGACCTGAAGTTTGGTTTGCGGTAAAGCCGCCTGCAAGAAATATAACCCTCCCTTCCCCCAAACACAGAACCACCACACCACCACCACACCACCACCAATGCTCCAAAAAAAAAAGAAAATAATAAGTCACAACCCCTTCAGATAAGCTTTCTTTCCAGTCGCTGTATGTATACAAAGATATTCTCTATGTTTTGTAAGTAAAAACAAAAAGAAAACCTTTCTTTTGTTTTTTACACATAAGTAACAGTATTGAAAAAATAATCCCACACTATGGTTTATAGGGTGGAGAAGGAGCAGTTGTCTCCACTCCAAAAGAAAAAAAAAAAACAAAGTTTTATACCTTACACCAAGTGTAGATCATTTCCGGGATTGGTGCTGATTGAAAGAACAAAACAAAACAAAACAAACAAACAAACAAAACCTTCAACTGCCTTATGCCCTTAGGTGCTGAGTTTCATTAAGTACTGTTACGTTTCCTCATGCAAAACTCTCTGGTGGTTTTTTGCACCGGGAGAGGGAAAATTAAACAATCAAATGAAACCAATCTAGAAATGAAACAAAAAAAAAAACAACCAATGGGTAAAACTCAAAGCAATCATTCTTCCTATCTGATTATTTGTATTGAAGAAATCAAATTGACCAAAAGCAAAAGCATTGAAACCCCTCCCTCTTTTTGCTTTCTCTTCCTCTCCTCCTGTCCCTGCCCCCAACTTCTCAGCCCCTTCTAGGAGCCAAAAGGCCATTTGAAACTCAGATGGTTGGCAGAGCTCCTTGAAGGCCAACTAGGTGCCATTTCAGTGTTCACCTAGTAAGAATCACGTCTGTTTCCTGGTGAAAAGCAAAACAGAAAAAAAACAAAACAAAACAAAAGCCACCCTAATAATTCGATAAGAATAGGAAATTCTAAAGCAAATTAAAGGAGATTTCCATGTACGTCATCAAAGAGAATCAGTAATAATAAAACTCAGCATAGTAGCAAAAAGAACGACATCAATTTAAAGGCACAATACTTAATCAGTGACTGGCAAAAATGATCTGTTCTGTCATTTTAAGGCCGTGAAAGGTATACATTTATCACATGTGATATTGGGTAAGGCCTCTTCTGTTTCCATTTGGTGGGAAGCCTTAAATTGATCTGGAAAGAATTCATTTTTTCATTTGTGCTTTTTAAAAATAGTTAACACAAAGAGGAAAATTAGAACATAAAAAAAAAAAATCAAATTGTAATAACCTACCCATTTCAAAGACTGTTTGGTGCTTCTGTCTTTCACCATTGTGGTTGGCTGAAAGTCATTCAGCTCACTTGGTGCATCTGGGTTGAGTGGGGAATTCTGTGTGTGTTGCATGTGTATGTGTGTGTCTGTGTGTGCCCATAATGCACACACACGCACATGTGTGTGTGCGTGTGTGTGTTTACGTGTGTTTGTGTGTGTGTGTGTCTGCTGCAAGGTCTTGCCAGAAATGTAGAAAAAGTGATATACGACAGATTCTGGGTATGGCTAAGGTCAAGTGTAAGGGGCTGGGAAGCTGGGGAGGGGATGGTGCTTGATCCTGAGTTGCGGTCTGATGGCAAGACACGCCAGCAGCATACTCTGGGTCTTAGAAGGTGTGTCATTCGGGTGAAGGTTTGATTCAATTATTTATTTTCTCATTGTACCAAGTTGAATTTCTCGAGGTGTTGCAAGTATGTTCAAACCATTTTTTAAACGTTATTTTTCAAAGTGTTGCTCCTGTAAGGAATATTTTGTTTTAGGGCATCGTTTCAATCCCATCATCTCTCTACTTGGGCACAAAAAAACAAAAACAAAAAAAGGAAAAGAAAAAAATCACAAAAGGAAAAAAAATCTCCACAAAAAAGATATATATATATATATATATATACATATATATATACACAAGTCTCTCTATATATACACACAATATTTTTAAGTAAAATCACTGTTAGTCTTTGTTGTGTGTAGCTGTGATTTTTTTCTCAATTCCAGATATAACTGTTTAGGGTGCAAGGCCTCACATTGAGCTACTCTTAAGAGAAGTTCAAAAACTGAGGACCTTTTTTTTTTTACGTTTGTGGATTTTTAAAAAAAATATATATTATTCAAAGAGGCTTCTCCTCCCTCCCTTCATTGTTTATCTAAATCTGTAAAAAACAAAACAGGAAAAAAACCCACAAGTTTTAAACATCAGTTGGGTTGTAAAACCGGATCCTCTCTGATTTCCTTGATGATGACTAGGTTTGCAGTGCCGTCCTGCCCCGTCCCTTGCCGGAGTGTCCCCTGTGGGCCCCTGGCGCGGGCAGGAGGGCCGAGGAGGGGCAGGAGGGCGCGCCCAGGCCCAGGAAGCACTCTGCACACAGCACACCAGGCCCCGGGAGGACCCTGCTGGCCAGTCCCCGCCCGCTGAGGGCCCAGGCCCCTCGGCGGCAAATTGGGAGTTCCAGTCTGGTCAGAGGTGCTTTTCTTTTCTATTCTGCTTCCCTACCAAGGGCTTAGCTCACTGCTTACTCTGCAGAGGCCAGAGGAGGTGAGGCCATTTGAGGGGGCTCTCCGCATCCTCCCTGCTTGCTGGGGTCCCAGCTCTCATCTGCCCCAGCGCTTTGGGTGTCCGCCACCAGAGCGGTCCCGACGCTGTCCCTGGTGCATCCCTCTGGGACCTCGGCCACTTCGGCTTGTTCATCCGTTCTTAGCTTTAGTTCCTTTCTTTTTTTCATTTCGCGGCAGTCACAGACTTTGATTTGCCACCTCTGTTTTACTAAAACACATCCGGTGTGTACGCACTTGTGTGTGGGGTGTGTGTGTGCATGCGTGTGTGTTTCATGCAACTGAGAAAACGGCTGATGTCCGTTGACCTGGAGCACCCAAAATTGGGGTGACTGAGGGAGGGCCCTTGGGGCGCCTTAGCGACTGGGAACAGAGGAGAAGACCACAGGATGTTTCAGGAAGCCTTTCTTTCCATGGGGGTTGGACTGGGCTCCGTAGGACTCAGACAGGAGGGCGCCCTGCTTCCCTGCCGTTATTGTCCACACCTTCAGTTGTGCCATGGCCTTTCCTAAGGGTGAAGACATGCATCTGTGAGCACTGACAGAGAAGTCCGGTTTTGCAAAGAGACAGGAAAAGAAACTCAAGAAAGAAAGAAAGATCATGGGAGCCAGGGAAACATGAAGAGAGTGTTCAGGTGTCTTGTCACTCCCATGAGAAGCAAGGGCCTCAGCCCACCTCCAGGAATCCCACCCCAGTTAATCAAGCTGACCCCTGACAAACCATTACGGGCACTGAGGCAGCAAGCCATGGTGTCCTGGCTGCTCCCTGAGGGGACGCTTTATGATTTTTTTAAAAAAAAAATCCCTGGGCTCACTTTTTGCCCAGGAACTCCTAATGAAAGCTAATTAACAAGGCTCAATATTTAGGTCTGGTAGAAGATAAGCACACTGTACCGGGAGCTAAAGAATAAACTCGGAGACTCTCTCTTTCCTCATTGCACCCCCGTCAAAGCTGCCCACAGCTCCCCCGTAGAAAATCTAGTCCTTCTTTTCCTTCTCAGAGACATGGTGGCATCTCTAACATCGGGTTGATTTTGTTAGCATCATTTCTGCAAGCTGTTTCTCCCTTGCTCGGTAGGTCTGCCTCTTCTTGGGCCCCTTCATGAAAGGAAACCTTGGTCCCCTCAGCGTCGAGGCGGTGTCCTCTGAGCTCATGTTACAGGTAAATGAGAACTAAGAGGATTTAAATTCATTGGATGATCCCCCACTGACCTTACCCAGCCCCAGAGTTTCTCATTTCTCCAACATACTCTTCCACTCTGTCTTCAGAAAGTTCTCCTTGCTTGGCAGGGTCAGCCTTGTCTAAACAGGCTGGGAACCGGGGGCGCTGTGGGGGTCAGACTCCCTCTCTCTTGGTGGCTGACGCTGCCGACAGGTCCCGTCCCTCTTTGGACAGGAGAGACAACACTTCCTGATAGCTCAGGGGCTTCTCCATCTCTCCCACAACTCCTCCACTCCACTCCCCAGGCACCAAATCACCTAGGACACCCAGGGGCCTAATCCATCCCCTCAATAGCCACACCCCTTTGAGTCTCAGGGAGGTTTGAAAGAATACAAATACCTGTCTGGTCCGTAGTCCTGAGGGTGATTCCACCAGCCAAATGGCCTGTCCTGCTGGAGGCATCAGACCCTGTCCCAATAGCAGCCTTAAATTGTTGGAGAGAAAAACCTATGGGTTCTTAAAAAGCACCGAATGACATCATTCTCTCCATTCTCCCTCTCCTTTCTACCCCTCTCACAGGGTCGCAGGGGCCGAAGAAGAGGTTTTTGACGCTGATCTTGTCCAGCCCTCTAAATGGGCATAGACGCCCTGTATGCACCCACCGAGACTCTGCTCACTGTGTTGATGAGCCCGATGGAGGAAGCTTTCTTCCTCTTTCCCTTTCTGCTCTGCTTCTTGCTCCTGGAGGTTGGGGGAGCTCTAATGAGCCCCGGACCCTGTTGCTCCCAGACTGCAGCAAAATGTTCTTTCTCCATTATCTAGGAAACAGGGATGAAAAGGACGGCAGTGTGCAGGCTCTGAGCCTTTGGGCTGGAAGAAAGGGTGTCAGGTCCCAAACTAAAGAAGGCTGGTCATATTCCTGCTCCCAGCTCTCGGCTGGGGAGGCGGTCCCCTAGCATTCACTTGGCACATGTGATGGCATTGTCTTTGCCAAGGAAAGTGGCTTCTTACTCAAATGGAGCCCTTTCGAGGCCTCTGTTGTGTGGTGACAGCAGCTCCGGGTGGTTGGTCTTCAGGAAGGATGCACGCCTTGTGCACGTTCACTTGATTGTCTTATCAAAATACTAAAATCTGTGATTTCTTTGCCAAACTGAAAAATATTAAAATAACATCACCAGATTTGGCATGGGGAAGGGGAAATCTATATTTGGAGAGTGTGAAGGGAAGAAGGCTCATTGCAATGAAATTCTCCTGATTCCCACTGTAGACCAG